ATAAGATACCTCTAACACACAATGTTTTTGAAGCTTCGATAGAATGTGATGCTTCCCAATGAGCATAAGCGTGCTTGAATTTTTACTCGCAGGGATAATTATTCAGACTTTAAAAATTGGAAGTAGTAATAATGTATAAAAACACGTTTAAAGAATAAAAAAAAACGAAAGTTTAACTATTAACAAATCACGTCTTTATAGAAAAAATTAAAATACAATTTAATTTGCTTTAAAATTAATACAATAAAATATAGTTGAATTCAAGTTAACCTTTTAATAGGTAATCAAAATAATGCTATAATAAAAAATCTTTATGTTTTCTCTTAAATTTTGCTACCCAAATAGTTCGATCGTCAATATTAGTTTGGAACCCTACATAGAAAAAATAAATGAATTTCATTCATTTCACTAATTTATTTGTATCCATGAGAAATATTAAATTAAAAGGGTACTAAACAGATATTTTTTAATCAGATGATGTCTACTTACAATTAAAAATGTCTACTAATTTCATGAACTCATATCTTATTTTTAATACATTAATGAACATAAATAAACCCAATGGTACGCCCGTTTCTCATCTTAAATAATGTAAACAGGTCGGTACTAACAAATGAAAATGAGAGATCGGGATGTAAATATTTCGTTTTTTTTGCCAAATTCAAAACTGTAGCACCATTATTATAAAATGTTTATTTTCACTTTTCACAAATATTCACTCAAAATAACAGCCAAAATATCGAAAAACAACTTTTCCCTCATCTACTGTAAAAAGTAAAACACATTGCTTTTGAAGTTTGACGTAGAACCATAAGACAGAGAAATGTAAACACCGTTGCCATTTAAAAATAGTTTTCAGTACTTCTACATATAAAATAATTGATTGATATCTATTATACGCTATTATTAAATGATAATGCAAACTATGTGCACACTTGATATTTGCATTACAATTAAATATATTAATATAACAATATATTATTATTTTGGTTTGATAGCACCTGTAGAGTATAAAATACGGAGTAATATTTTTCAATGACTCGCGAATAAGAAATTTTAATAGAAAAACGTGACAACAGTTGAAGGGTGCTGAGGAATGTGACATATCTTCTTCACAATTTTATGTAAAATAACTGAGTCCATCTTTGTGTGTACGTCCATGTCAATAAGGATACCAAATGGAAGAAAAACATTTTAAAATAATCTGCTATGCATACGACGCAATACTAGTCTCCCAAAAATGATTTACAACGTATGAAGCACCCAATTTAATATAACGCCGAAAATTTTAACATGTTAATTTCCCCAAAAAAACAAATGTATGGTTACAACAGCAAATTTACTAAGATGTAAATTGGAGCTGGAAGGTCAAATAATAAGAACAAGTGATGGAGTTTAAATATCTACGCATCACATTATCTAGCTACGGAAAGCTCGAAACCGAAGTGGAAGATCAAGTGAATAGAGCAAACAGAGCTGCAGGCTGCCTAAATGAATCAATATGGAGCAATAAAAATATCGGGAAAGAAACGAAGGGTAGAATTTACAAAACAGTCATCAGACCAATAATGACATACGCGGCAGAAACAAGACCTGATACAGAGAGACAAAAAGGATGTTAGAAACAGCAGAGATGAAACACTTGGAAAAATTATGATAAACACGATGGACAGAGATAGAAGTACAATATACGACGTAGATGCAAGGTAAAACATCAAGAACTGGATAAGAAATAGAAGAGTAGAATGGAACGATCGTATAAGCCGAATGACAACAAATAGAGTAGTAAAGATGCAAGAGACGGTTCCCCATAGGAAGACGATCAGTAGGAAGACCACGAAAACGATGGAACGACAACTTCTGGAGGCGCATTTTAAAACAGAGTCATATCTATATAAAAAGAAGAAGAGGTTCGAACATAAAATTGACCTGGAAGCACTAAAAAGTTTTAAAAAATGAAGTTTAATTGATGAAATGATAATAATAAAGACTAATAAATTAAAATCTACACTATATTAGTATATTTGTTGTTAACTTTTTTATACAAAACGTTTGCTGACAAAGATAAAACAGCATAAGACATAAGAGATAAAAATATTTTGTTTCTGATAACAAGATTTATCTGTTTTTAAATTAAAAAAACAATTACAAAAACATGAATTGCACTTATTAAGACTATAAATATTCATAACAAATAAACTACTTAAACAAAAGGATCGTGCTATAATAAAGAATTTAAAGTAACATAGAAATATTTACCATAGCAAGTGTATTTGTGAAACTTATCCAAACTGGGATAAACAAATTCTGGAATAGAAACATTTGGAATGTCCACTGTAGTTGCACATGTCAAAATGTTAGACTGTCTGTGAGATGTACCCACCGTCCTAGTATAAACACTAACAAATTTCTTCGCGTTCAAAATATTTTTATTTGTATTTAAAATATTCTTGAAAACTCTGACCGACATTTTGTTTGGGCGCTTAAACACTTGGTAAGATTAATCTACTTAATGTATTTCATGTTATCAATCACACGAGAAGATTGTTGTTACAACTTGTGTTGCCGATTAATGGTATAAATGAAATGACTACACGCATTAGAATATTAGTTATAGTAGAGACAGAGCCGGCATAAAAAATATAAAAAAAACAAAATCAACGGATTTAATCAAGGATTTTTATTAACAATCCTTAATAAGAATATTTTCAATGCTAAAATTTATTATGAAACAAATATTATCCCACGACAATTTGATTAGTCTTCATTCACGATGTAAGAGAATATTTTTGTTTGAAAAAGATTTTTACTTATGTAAAAGATTTTTACTTATGAATTGCGCAAGTGTTTTGTTATCTAAAAATGAAGATACAGGGAAAAAACCGACATGTCTTTTGTTTTCAAAGTTCAGATTTCTATTCTATGTTATAGAACAAGGCGAAAAGCACATTTTAGAGCTATCGTACAGGGTAAAAGTAGTCTTGTCATGAGTAATAGTACTTCAAAAATCTCGAGCTACCAAGAAAAAACAAGCTTTGTCATGCGTCCAGTGAAAGAACCAGATATGTCACAAGTTTCACGTAATGGCGTCGGATTAATTTAAAAATGATTAATAAACAATGCGTATTTACTAATAGAAAGTTTTTTTTTATAAGAACAATGATCAAATGTTCAACAAGACATTTATGCATTTGATATAAACATAACTAATAGAAGGACTTCGTTTTGTTTCTTGTAAAAAACATAAACAAGCAGATGAAAATAGTTCGCATTTTTGAAACGTTTAATTAGCTTCTCTTACACATGCGGCAATATGCGATCAACGTATCGAATCTGCAAAAGTAAAAGGGAAAGTAGGGGTAGTGGGCGAACCGCTGACAAATACAGATTACTGCCTCCAGTCGTGTGATCCACACCATTTTGAACCGTGTGTTTGTGATGTTGACCGTTTGTAGTGACTAACATTAAAACGAAACTATTGTCGAGTTCTCACTCAGAGAATGAAGAAGTGAAGTGAGTAAAAGACTGAGTTATCAACTCATAAGGCTGGGGAATCTTGTCTCTGTTTCACGATATAAAGTGCTTCGATATGGTAGTGTAGAACAAAGAAAGAAAATCCTTCAGTCATTCAACGAACTTACCTCTCATAACCAACAAAATTCGTGTCTTGTTGGATTGATCATAGTACTTCCTGTAAGGCAAAGCAGACCACGCACAGACGAAAATACTGCCCGTTTTCATAGTCCTAGTTTTACTTATTGCGTTAATGTTAACGGACAAGACATCCCAGTTTGTTCGAAAGAATTTGGTTTCATTACATGGAATACCGAAAAAACAAACTAACGTATATCAAACAATTCCCTTACAGAAACTGGAGAAGCCCCAATAGATGGGTAGAGAAAAGCAAGTTCTGGACACAGAAAGTTGCCAGATGCCACAAAACAATTGATACGGATCACATCGGAAGTTTCAAGGGTCTACAAGCCATAATAGTATTAAAAAAAAACGAAAAAAAATTTAACCTGCTGTAGAACTGAATGAAAAAAAATTATTTTCTATTTCAAAAAAAAATCCAAATGTTCACGTATCGTACGAAACGTAGAGGTGTATTTTTGTACAGGAGTTTAACATATTTTTCGAGTATCCGCGCACCGACACTTGTGCAATATGCGACTAATTCCAGCCAAACTGAAGGTATTACAGCAGGTGACGGAGCGGATAAAATAAAACAGTTAACCACATTGAACCAACTTTATAAACAAAAGGCTGAGGCATTCTATTCACAAAACAGAGAAGCAAGAAGAACCAGCAAAGGAAAAAAATGGAAGCAAATTTGTATTGATTTTGCAAAGAAATGTACAAACGACGTGTACTATAAGCGCCAGCTATCAGTGAACACTTTTAATGTTCACGTCTTGTCGTCTGGTCATCCATTTTTCACTCTTACCACAAAGAATTGTCAAAAAAGGTTCCAATGTAGGTGCATCGTTTTATTACATTTTATTAATAACTTTTTGGATGATGAGGTTGAGGAGTTAAAAATTTTTTGTGTCTCAGCTGAACCAACAAAATAAAAATTTTACAATATTCCATTCATACATTATATCGTGAACAACAAAATCCATGGTTTTCGTGAAATAAAACTTACATATCCTATCCGTGGACATTCATACCGTATCGTGGACAAGAATGTTTGGACTGTGAGATCTAAAAAACGCCTTTTAAAGTACCAAAAGAGTTTAGAGACATGATCAAGACATCCCGCGTAAAGCCGTCTCCATTCATCGTCGTGAAAGTAACACGAAAAATAATTTTTGACCGGAAATCATTTTTGGACAAGAAGTATGTTCCAAAATTCCCTTTCAAAACTCAGGTTTTGAAAGAGGTTGTTTGCCACATCAGACCACATTCAGTCATATATCATCGATCCTCTTACAATGGACCATTCTTGTGAAGCATCTGAAAAAACGAATGACCTCAACAACATACGGAGTTGAAGAATGGAGAATTTGAAATACCATCACCAGTCTACTCAGGTAAGGTATAAGGTACCACAAGGAAATTATAATATTATTTCCCTGTCTGTTGTTTCAGGATCCCTCGCAATTTTAAAAGCCAAACACAACGATTTAATAAGCCCTATGAGATTCTGTGTAGCAGCTGTAAAATCTTTCCCTGTCTTACCTAATAACAGGTAAGTTATTATTATTATAATAATTAGTTCTCCTTTTTTATTTAACGTCGGCGTCGATCTACTTCTGCGATTAAGACTAATTACCAGACGCCTAAAATTTTGACGAATGCCCTAGTATTCCAACCAGAAGTAGGGATCTTTAACGAGCCATGTTACAGTAAAACCTATGTTAACGGCCACCTGTCAAAACCGCCAGTTTCCCAAGTTCCCCAAACCAAAATTTGTGGACTACAAAATTTGATATTTGCGTCACCATTTTATATCGACAATAGTTCTGTCATTTTTTGTAAATCGCTATTGGGAGATTTTACTGTATTTATTATTACCTATTAATTCACAACAGAAATACTAATCACAAAATTAAACCTATTTTCATTACTGAAAACATTGACAATTTTTTGTTTCAGATGACTAAGCTGTTCTTTCAATGGACAAATTGTGGTTGACAAGAATTTTCTGGATTTCTGGATTTTTTAAAAGAGTATAACACATTTTTTTAAATAAAAACAGTACATTGCCGTTCATGTGTTTTTATGGAACAATTTTGACTTCCGAGTTATTATATACGTTTTCAACGTAAGACACATTATGGTTTTGAAGTTAAATATGCATTTATTCTCGGTTTTATGAAATTTCGACATATCTGTTTTTCCCCGTAGACTTCAAATGAGAATGAACATTTAATAATTATACTCAACGAAATACATAGATTGTCATCGATTTAAAACTGTTAATGTTACATGTTCAACTGGTTCTACTAAAGCGTGGGGCCCAATTAATAACAAAAAAACTAAAAAAAGTAAATAAAACTAATAATAGTTATAATATCTACCAACATTGTTCTCTAAACAATATCATAGAGCCTCAACAGGAAAGATGCGCTAAGGATTCACGGGTTGCAAAGAACAACTTGTAATCGATTCAGTCATTTCCAACCAGACGTATACCAAAAAAGAAACCTTTTTACCGCTTTTAATGACGACAAAAAGCCCATTTAATTTAGGACCGTATGAAATGGCTTATAATATATTAAAAATATTTAAAGTCGATGATAATTATGTGACCTTTTCAAAGCATAGAATGACGGAGTGGAAGAAACTAAAATTCACCATCAAATACCCGGTGAAAACAACATTTTCGAGGGGGACTCATTGAATTCACTTGGTTCTCTTTAGCGATGAACTTACTATCTCAACTACTGAACTCCACTGAGTCAGGTTTTAGTAAAAAAAATAACAATAATGTTGTGGCGAAGCTTAATCATCTGTTGTATATGAAATTGATACTTTCCACAGGAAACCACGTAGATCAGATTCTAAAAATTGCGGAAACTTTTTCAAATGATATCAGTATGCATTTTGGACTAGATAAGTGCCGTATACTTAATATAGTCAGAGCAAAGGTTCACCCGAAGCGCGGAAAATTTTATTATAAAGAATGAAAACCGAACTAACTTCCGATTCATACGAAAAGTAAGACAACTAAATCGTCTTATTTTAATATTAAAAATTTGTTTAAGGCATTAAATAAGTGCCCTTATTCCGCGCTGAGCTACTCATTTGGTATTTATAAATAAATGGTCGAAAACGGATATAGAGAGTCTTCAGCGGAAAGTAAGAACACGTCTCACAAAGGCGCAAAAACACCATCCACACAGTGCAGTAAAAGGAACAACATAACCGCGATTATGGATAACTTGGATAAACAAGTTGCTAATTCAAGACTTATTTTTCAGGCTGAGCTCTACATGGGCGACATCTAATGAGATCAGCCAAGAATGCGTGGACAAATATAGCGTCGATGTATTGGTTGACATTAGGAAAGTTGTTTCCTGAGACAAAGGGTTTTTCTACTTGCTATACAAAATCAGGTTATTCCAACTAGAAATTACCTGAAATATATTATTAAAAATCCTGAACTCCAAGATGACAATGCAGATATGGATATGGATAAGCCCAAGAAGATCTTACCGGGGACTGCCACGCGTTTATCGGTACTGGTAATATAGAACGCCATGACTCAGTAGGAAAGATTATTTACTTACCAAGAACAGCTAGCAAAGCTGGACTTCTCCAAACTGACCATATTCCTGATTATCAATACGTAACCTGATAGAATCTTAAAAATGACAACTAAAAGCTTAAACTAGGAACGCGCACGGTGCTCACAGACCAACCCATTGGCGCATAATAGACTGGATCTCATAGCAGTTAATAAACTTACTATGGCAAACAACACTTATTGATGTGGCGATACCCAACACCAATATTTTGCGTGTTAAATATAACGAAAAGATCGCTAAGTACAGAGATTTAGAAATACAAATCGTGAGACAATGAGAATCGAAAGTACCTAGACACTACCTGTTATTCTATTTACTGCTGATGTTATTTCCAAAATCCTTTTCGAGAACATAAAATAGCTGGGTCTAAATGAACATCTCTATAAGGCCATACAGAAAGCTGTACTCCTCACGACGTTCAGATGTGTACGAAAATTGTTGGGGAGATACCTAGCATACCAAGTCACATAGGGCCGAATAACACAAAAAGAGTCCTACCAGAGCTCAATCCATTGAACTTCCTCCATTAGAGGGAGTTTGAGCCGTATGGCTAAATCTTGTCTAAATTGATCTCAGTATATCACTACTTGCTTGTGATTTTAACTCTTTTCGTGAATAAAACACATGTTTAATCAAGTTTTTTGTTTGATATTTTTTATTAATGTTCCTATAATCCTACCTGTTTTTACATCAAATATTCATTTTAAAATCTAATGTTTTTTTTTCAATTATCCTATTCCTAACACATGAGAAATAGTGTATCATCATCATCAATGGCATTACAGCTCGTTATTAGCCAAAGCCTTCCTCAGAAGAATCTTCCATTCCGCCCCTCTCCTGGCAACTCTTCTCCGTGCTTTAAATCCGATGGATTTTAGATCATCCTCTATGTTATCTTGATACCTCTTCTAATATTTTCATAGTCTTCCAGGTTTGATCTCATTCTGCGCTGCTCTCTTAAGTCTTTTATATGCTTCATTTTTCTGTTGGTTATTGATCTATATTCTGTCGTCAAAACCAATCTTCGTTTATTTTATCCTGGTTAGAATTTAAAAAGCCTTTACCCGCTGTAGGGTAGCTTCCTTGCATTTGGTCCAGTGTTCTTCTATACTTAAATTTTTTCGTAGATTCTTGTCAGCTCTTCCATTTAAAAATATCCTGTAGTTGATCCCTAGCGTTTTCAGATTTTAAATAGGAAAAAATATTTTTTTAACTTTAATTATTTACTTTTTAATCATTTTACTTTTTAATCAGTTTTTGACGGTATTAATTATTCACATTTTCTGGTTAAAAAAACAAACGCTGTTCTGTAACAAAATAAATTACCATATTTAATATGTCTTTTAATACTTTTTCCAGCCACTTATCTATATAAAACCTAATTTTTATTTCAAATTATATAATCAAGTAATAACAAACATAGCCTTGGACTGTTAACATTTTAAATAATTGACGCATATTTGGACTTTGATGTTGAAATACACTGCTGAAAAAAAAACACTTGAATTTTTAAATTACTTCTAATTGATATGTGTGCCGGACATATTTAGAGTAAAGTGTCCCAACCGATACTTTTTTTTTTAACCTAATATTAGTTTTAATAGCAAAACAAGTAATAGACTATAGAGAATCATTTATTGAACGAAAATAGATCATTTCTATTCACGAATTTAAACATAAAATTTATTTATAAAAAAAAAACGTTCAAATTATACTGCCAAAAAAAATGTTTCTAATGCCGGGATATTAGGATACGGGATAAAATTAGCCATCGAAAGCAGAAATCACAAATATAGGTGTCTTTTTTGTCTACATTGGTGCAGTCGGTGTAAGACCACTTAAAACACTTTGAGCACTGAATTCATTGTTCTCCCGAGGTATCTTCAAAGAAGAGTCCAGTACACAACATGCATTCTGCTTCCTCTTTCCCAATGTCACACTCCATGTCAGAATCATCATCTAAAATGAATTCTTTGAATCTAAAATGAATGAATAACAAATGTAATACCAGAAAATAATTTACACAATTTAGTAAAATGTCTAAAAGAAACCGCTGCAGCCAATGCTATAGGGATATTGTTACCAAGCATGGAAGACAAACAGCACAAAAGGAGACTACACGTGTGTGGACAAAGTGTTTTGCTTGCGCGAAATATTTGTGTTCTTACTGCTTTTTTAAGGTGCATGCTGCCAAACTACAGTAATTTTTCCTTATTATATTATCTTTATAGCATTTATGGTAAGTTGTCGACTATTTTTTTGTACCCTTTTTTAGAGTTACGCTACTTATAAATATTTAAACTAAAAAGGCGTTTTTATTACACTTTGATAAACGACCTTTATATAAAAGTATATAGTCCATTTCCATCATATTGATAGCACATTATGTATGCAAATCCCTAAACTGTTGATACGGGTGACTCAATGAAAAATAGATATTTGTCAACAAGTTTACAGAAGTATATAGGAAAACAATTTTTAAATTGAGTATGACCACCAGGTATAAAGGTTGAAGCAGAATAGAATACAATAGTTTTGAGGGTTACTAATCCCTAAATAAAGTTGCCAGTGTCGGAGTGATGGAGATTAACAGGTACTAATGAATTTGCAAGAAATGTAAGATGTTTATTTTATTGGTTATATATAAAATAATTTGTGGCCGTAACAGGGGCCGATTTGTAAAAAATGAATATTATTTTAATCAAATTCCAGTTCAGATTCACTGCTTTCTTCACAATCTAAGGAATCTTCAACTCCAATGTTAATTATTACCGGTTCCAGCATTGTATCAGTCATATTATCCAAATTCACTTTTTTCCACATTTTATTTTCTTCCTTGTGAGCATGACTAACAGCATTTTTTCCATTTTCTGGAGTTACTTTTGATAAGGAATGTTCTAATAATTGTTGTAAGTCTTCTAATTTAAAAGTTTTGTTG